ACCGGTTTTATAAATTTTCTCGTTCTTGAAATGTTATTTTTACATGGTTATATATATTATTGGATAAGTGTTTTGTGTACATATTGCTATGAGAATTATAGAGAAATTCAGTGAGATGTATGTAATATAATTCAAATTACAAGTAAACCATCTGTTCCTGTTTGGCAATATGGAGAAAATACTTACTTCAATGTCAAATGTACTATTTAAAAGAATGTGATTGTTAACCGGTCATTTATTTATATTATGAAAATAAAAACTCGAATTTTTTAACTAGGGAAAGATATACTAAAAATCGGTAACAAGGTATTTTTAGAAAAACTAATAGATTACTCCTATTCCTATAGTTTATTTGAAAATGAATAATAGCAAAATTATATAAAAATATGGACCTTTGCCATAAAAACTGTGCTACCAAGCATTTTCAAATAAACTATAATGATAATTTGATTTAATAGAGCGAGTATAAGATCTCACCTGTTAGAGAAATTGGGGCATAGGGAAGAGATTATGAAGCAGGTAAGCAAAGTCGTTGCAAAAGATAAATATATAGAAGTTATTTTAAAAATTTGATAAAAAACTAGTGGAACAACAAAGGGAGTTGTCGCTATCGGAGATCCACTCAGCAGTAAGTAAAAAAAAACTTTGGGAATGTTGGAAAAGGGCACAGCAATAGGCCCAAAACAATTCCTTGGTTTTTTAATAAATATAATCTTGTGAGATGCAAAAAATACTGCTAGAGTGGAGAAGCAGTATTGTTCTAATGTAGAAAACCCAGGGACATACAGCAGTGCACTAACCATAGGCGAATAGTCACTATAAATTATACAAGAGTCCCATCTCGATTTTATTTTTAAATATTTTTGAGAATACCTATTATTATTAATTTGTTACATTGAGTTTAATAAAACCACAGATTTCGAATGTATTGAAAGTTATTTAAAAAGTACCTCTATAAATATATAGAAAATGTGTATATGACTAACTGGTTTTATTAATCTTTTTTTGGGGTAGGTAAATATATTTTGAAAAATTTACAATCTTCTTTTAAATAAAAGACAAAATATTTCTGTTTTTATTAACTGAACAATATTTTATACAAACATAATATATACCTATTTAAAAGAAAATATTACATTTTACAAGTATCGCATATTTATATGAAATAACTTACTCAATAAGAAATAATTAAATGAAACAAATTAATAAACAATGGATATGAAATATTTTAACAATTTAATCCTTAGATAAACTTATTCTTACATATTGCTTTAATCAATTTATTTACTATAAAAGTATATTTCCTATCATTTATTACATGTAATAAAATAAAGCATAAAACATACAAACTATAATATGTACCTACTTAGAACGGAACTAATATTATTGTATCAAGGTAGTAATAGTGGACATTTTCCGAATGAAAAAAAGTAAAAAAGAAGTAACGATCGACACGTTTTTCTGACTATTGGTCTTCATCAGTACGGTGCAGGCAAGTTCAAAGGATCATGGAACGTGTGTTGGAAAAATTGTACAATAGGTCATACACATTTGCCGTTTCAGCTAGTATCCCCAAATTTTCTGGGCTTATACTAAAGTCACAAAATGATTCAATGGTCTTCCTATGGCTATCAGTTATTCTTTCCTAAAATTTTTTGGTATGCTACAACAAAACACAAATTATTTGATTTTGAAAATATACAAATATTTTTGAAAACTTACATGTGAAATGTTATTCCTGCCTTGTATCTTATACTGTTGGATGCAATTTACGTACAAAACAACAAGAGATTTTGAAAATCCTGTAAAAATTTAACACCAAACCACAAATGTTTTTTATTAAAATAAAATACTAAACGACTAAACTAAAAAATAATGTTTTAAATAAAACCTTTACTAGAAGAACAAAATAAACAACACAACAGATAATAAAATCGATTATATACGTCGAACGCCGATCTTACGCTTATTAGGCATTCCAAACAAATGAATTACCAGTGGGCAGGTTTGGTATATCTAAGGGTGGCGACATATGGTGTATTCTATCTACTTTACGTAAAATCATGAATAATGGATCACATTTAAATATTTTATGTCAAACACAATAAAAATAATATTTAAAAAACCCACCTATACATTTCTTCATAAATTGGCAGGCTTGGCGAGTACTACTTCGAATAAAAATAGCGTCCAAGTTGCAAGACTATGTCGCTACCCCCTTAAATATACAAGAATTTCCCACTGGCACCTATTGTTTGACAGGTCGTTGGAATGCCTAATTACTAAACTTGTGCCGATTCTGTCTCGTCAGAAGTGCCAACTTAAAATTTATTGACATTTATTTATCATGGCGCCCATCATATGGGGGGTCAAAATGTTTTTTACGATGCGGTATCTAGACCTTCTGAGGGCTATGGTTACAGTTTATTGCTAAAGAATCAGTTAGCTCACTCGGACCAGTTGAAAGTTCCAAAATAACATCCACTCCAGGGATACAAATTCAGGATACGCAGAAGACTGCTGTTTTAAAATAGACGGTTGTCATATATTGTATTATCTTAGTTGCGCGGTGTATAAACTGGAACATTGAGATAAAAAGTGCCGACGCAGAGTGAGCGATCTGATTCTTTAGCTATAAACTGTGTCATAGGGTTCGAAATGGCCGCGCTCTATGTTGGGCGTGTCGGACCTCTCTCTTGCCCCGTATAGTAATCAAAGTATGTGGGTAGAATGCTTGTCAATCACATACTTTGATTACTATACGAGGCAAGAGAGAGGTTCGACACGCCCAACATAGGGCGCGGCCATTTTGAACCCTGTGACACAGTTTACAGCTAAAGAATCAGATCGCTCACTCTGGGTCGGCACTTTTGATGTCAATATTTCAGTTTGTACACTGTGCAACTCGGATAATACAATATATGACAACCGCCTATAATAAAACAGCAGTCTTCTGCGTATCCTGAATTTGTATCCCTGGAGTGGATGTTATTTTGGAACTTTCAACTGGTCCGAGTGAGCTAACTGATTCTTTAGCAATAAACTGTGACTTCAAAAATAATATTCACTGACACTGACAGCAGCAAGCAAAATATCAGGTGCGTTTTAATCATCCGCTTCTGCTTCCGGAATTGTCGGTTCAGTCGTTCTAACCTGTCAGATTAAAACAACAAAACCGACAATTCCGAAGCAGAAGCGGATGATTAAAACGCACCTATTAAAAATATTGCGCCAAGATGTAGGCAACACGTAATAAGGGTTCAAAATGGCGGAGTTTTCTATCTCCTTTTAAAAGGCACTCAGAAAGCTGCGCAGTGCGACCATTCTCCGTATAGTAAAAGAAAATCAAAGTATGTGGGTTTTGATATAACATAGAATTAAGTTATATTGTAGTGGTAATGAAAATTTAAACTTACATAATTAAGTTATAATAACCATATATGTTGTGCATATAGAAGCAACGAAAGTTATAAAATAATAAGTTAAATAATATATTAACGTGGTGTTTATATGTATTAATTACAACTTTTTGGTCATAAGAAGATTCAGCCATTTTGTTCGGTAAAAAGGAACACAAACTTTTCGTCATGTTAGTAAAAAACAAACAAAAAATGTAATTTGGATCTCATTCTGTATTAAAACAATATGTAGACAAAATAAGCAGGTTATATTAATATGTCTTTATTTAAAATTTTAAAATATTTTTAAAGTTCATTTTTTTTTGTAATTTTTTCAATAAATTTTAAAACCTTTATTTTAAGAAAATGATAAGACGCACTAATTTTTACAAACTAAAATTAAATGTTACGCCATAAAATTTGTTTCGTCAGAGAATTTAGGTAGATTACACCAACTTTTTAGACAAAATGTAAGTTTACTATTAAGGTTTACTTAGTTGCCATTAGTGAGATATTTATGATGTAATGTCATTTTGTAAGAAGTAACTAAAATGTTTATACCTGTTGGTCTTCATTAGATATATAAATAATAATCTATAGAAAAAACCAAATTATATCATGACATAACTCTTAACAACGTTTTTATATCCATTTGTAATTACCTAATAACATTTTCTTTTTATGAAGTTATAAGTTAGTTATAACTGGAGTTATAGCAACTACTGTAAAACGTATACTATTAGGTTGTATATATCCACCAAAATTCGCATAATAATATATAGTAACGGTATAGTATATTAGAATATGTAAGTTGCTGAGTTTTAAGAAACGCTGTTGCAACGTCGGTATAACCCTTATATAACTTTTTGTGTTTGTGTCTGGTTATGCGACTGGCACATGGTCTTTGTTAAGTAGTCAGTATTAATATGGTAAAAGGAATGCAATTTTTCGTTAACTTCCCATCAATAGGCCATTAATTGCCAATATATTTATTTCTAGACATTAAAGGGAAAATGGAGGCCTTTTAACTGGATTTGATGGCTAAGTGATTTCGGCCCGACTGTCGGCTGTAGGTACCTATAAAACCGGCCTTTTAATTATAAAAGTTAAATGGCCATCCTTGCGCAATTGAAGGGTAACAGTTATTAGGCCTTTTATTCCCCCACACAAAATGTTTGGGTAGGTTATATCAATTGTTTCTTCAATCTGGCAACACTGGTTACAGCTTGTAATTTTAGACTAAAAAAAAGTAAGAATGCAAAAAAAATTTCTTTAATGTTTATTTCAAGAACTAATTTAAAATTATGCGTTTCACAAACTAAATACAGTGGTATTTTTAATTATTACAACACAAATAAATATTGAAAGTAACAATATGTATCTTAATAAATTTATATTATTAGCCATTTATTTTTAATAACTAAATACGGGATTCAAGCTGCTATTGTCGTGACATTTAATATCCTAAAATTAGATGTAAAGCACACAAACTAAAGCTCTTGTTCTAGTAAAGATTAGGTAAAGAACAAACAAACATGATAGAACATCGTTTTGTTGCTTTGTTTAAACAAGTATTAGAAATTAAAAATTAAAAAAAACCGACTTCAAAAATGTGCAGCTGCCATCACCACATCTTAATTAAATTTATATGGGACCACCCCTGAGGTACCCCCTTGCTAGCAAAAAAAGAATCATATAATTCGGACAAGGTGGTAAAGCATTATCGCTAAACATACATAAAAAATGAAGAGTTTGAGGATTTTCTCATGGACCCAAATTTATATGGGACCACCCCTGAAGTACCCCCTTTCTAACAAAAAAAGAATCATTAAAATCGGACACCGTGTTAAAGAATTATCGCTGAACATACATCAAAAAAAATATTGCGACGAATTGAGAACCTCCTCCTTTTTTGAAGTCGGTTAAAAAAATGGAATGAAAGTTCCACAACTGTCGTTCAAAAATGTTTGATTACTCAGTACCCAGTTGAAACAAAAAAATACATAAAAAAAGTGTCTCTTTTAGGGTAGCAAACCAAAATAAACCCTTACAAAACGTTATAGAAACAAAACATTGCTATATAATTTAACTAACACTTTCTAGAAAAAATATATTATAATAATAATAATTATTATTTAGGTACTTTTGGGAGGATCAGTATTTGTAGGTTTCAAGGAATGCCTTCTACTTAGTCGGTATTCGGTTGGCGTCAACATTCCTCTCAAAATGGTATCGAAAGAGACGTTGATACCCTTTTCTGTCATCTTGCAGTACATATTCCAGCATTGCTTTTCCTTTGGCGATTTGAGGTCAAGATTATCGATATCAGATTCTTTGTTTTTCGTTTCCTCAGATGTTTTTTCTTCGCTGTTCATCGTGTTATTGGCGACGAGGTCCGGATTTGCGGCAATGTTTGAATTTGCTGGATCGGTTAATATTGGAGGCTTGTCGTTTTGTATCGTTTGTTCTACATTCTCTGGTGGATCGAAACTGCAAATAAATATAAATTTGGCTATGATTTTTTACATAATTTTTTCATTTGGAAAGTATAAAAGTAGACCAATAATAATAATTTGGGAAATTAGTGATTACGTCAGAATCCTCGACATGCATCCGAGTTGTATGCAACTACCATTGGAGTAAGAAACATGGACATTAAAATACATTAAACCTTATATTAACTATATAGGACGAAAATAAAATTGAGAAAATAGTCTCACAGTTTAATGAATTATGAACTTATACATAATATTTAGTATCGTCTTTACGTAATATCCCAAAATTTCTTTTCTATTTCTAGTTTTAGTAAACGGGATAAAACAAAAAAAATTAATTTAGAGGAGGAGTTGCTGAAAGTGCCACTTTTAGCCATTGTTATGTAACGAACCTGAAAAAAATATAATAAATAATATGTTAGTGTTAAGACTCCCACTATACTATTGCGAGCGCGAGCTGAACCCTATTGAGTTAATCTGGGTCGATGTTAACAATTTCGTTACCCAAAACAATACAATGTTTAAATTCGTAACCGTAAAAAATATTATGACGTTATTGATAAAATAGTGGGCGGAACAATTATGTACAGCATGTGAAAGGAACAATGGAGAAGCAAATATGTGGGAATTAGACAATATAACTGAAGTCCGATAAAGTATAAAAACAGTTTTGTAGCTAATTCAATTTATTTAACCCATGAAGTTACGTTAATAAAGTTTTTTTTTGTAATACAACACTTTTTTGTAACTTTAATGAATTTAGAATATATCTGAAACAATGCTACTCCTTATACAGTGCTTATTATTTTGTATTAGGCATAGCCGTGCTTTCATAGCGAACATGTGGCAACTACGATATTCCCGCTATCGCTATACATTCTGGTTTTGACATTCGATTCGGCTAATATCCGACCACCAAATCTTCTTATTCTAGTCGACGACTGGCTGTTGCCCTGTTGTCATTTAATTAACTTATATACTAGTCGTATGTCCAACACGAAAAAATAGGTACTGTATATTACGGTCCTGACAAATATCAATGTCATAATAAGTAAGGAACGCTTGTTTACGCAGCTAGAACGGTTATTTACGCTGCTGAAACGGTTGTTTACGCCGTTGGAACAGTTGTTTACGCTGCTGCAGCTTGGATTTGGACAGAGTAACGCATTCAAATCCTCTATCTCGAATCGACGTTATACTTTAGATACATTGGCTATTTTCTACTTTAACAGTCTGGATATTAGCAGGTGGAAATGAACCAAGTAAACAAAGACAGCCTTTACCACCGGCAATTCAATATCATGACATTCGGACTTTGTATTACCCCCGCGACATTTGAAAGAGATATATGTTGGGAGGATTATCCTGAAAACGTGCCTGGTAAATTTAGACGACTTCATAGCCTTGGGGAAGACATTTGATGGGCATCTGTAAAGAATGTAGAAGATTTTTTTAAATACTGCAAGCTGCCCAACTGGTACTAAACCCCAAGAAATGTTACCTATTCTGAAATAAAGTCAATTACCTTGGTCTTATAGACAGGAAGGCGTGGCCATAGATAACGAAAAAGTCGCTTCCATCAAACAGTGACCGCAACCCACAACAAACTGATAAAAATCAAATAAAAAGTTGTCTTGGACTCTGTACGTACAATCAAAGATTATTAGGAATTGTGTTGAAATTGCTAAGCCATAAACGCGACTTACATGAGAAGCAAAAGAGAGTTCTGCTGCGACGAAGACCAGCAAACTGCCTTTGAAACTTTAAAGAAGCATTTAACCAAAGCATCAATATCAGGCTACCCACTACCAAAATGAGAATTCATTACGGATACTAATGACAGTACTGTGGGAATTGCAGAAATGCTTTCGCAGATTCAGAAAGGACAAGAAATAGTACTGTGAGTTTGTGAAAGGTTTAATTGGATGATCAGTCCCGAAGATGTATAGAACTGGTGTAAGAAATGGAAGGCTCCCATAAAACAATATAACGTCGGTAGTCCATTTTAGAGGATTGTCTTAGATATTGCTGGACCATTCGAATAATGGTAATACATACATTATTTCACGAAGTGGGTGAAAATTTACGCCATTCCATTTCATTCTGTTCGCAACTGTATAGACGTATTGATAAAAAAGTCTATCAGTCGATTTGGAGTACCCTTGGAGATCCATATAGTGACCAAAACCAAAATTTTAAAAGCAAGTTTTTTCAAAGAATATGTGATATACTAGGCATGTAGAAAACCAGAACTATAGCGATGCCACAGTCAGATGCAATGGTAGAGCGAATGAATAAGACTATTGGAAAAACCTATCAAAAGTGGTTTATAACCATTAGTGAAATTAGGATCAGTATATTTTGATCTTCGAAATCGCCTATAGATCCGACGTCAATGAGCAGGCCAAACACCAGCAAAATTCCTATTCGGACGTTAGATGAGAATGCGGTATGATCTCGAGTTTAGATGCCAAACTGGAGAAGATATATCTAGTGGAGATTATGTGAACCAGTTACTAAGAAATAGGTTGATATGCATGAGTTGGTTCGCTCGCATCTTCAAATCTCCAGCGACAGGGAGAAGAAACGGTACGATACCCCAGCCACATATGGATGCATCAAGGAAGGCGACAGAGCCTGGCTCTCTGACCCAAAACGCAGAAGGGTTATTTTCTCAAATTTCAAAGATTTCGGGAAGGTCTGTACCACATCAAGAAAAAATTAATGAAGTAATTTATGGTATAAGCAAGATTCCAAACGGAAAACTGAAGGTAGTGCATTTAAACAGGCTGGCTGCCATTTGGAGGTTACCATGACCAAGGAAAAGAAGAAACCAACTTCAAGAAACATCTGACCTTGTCTTCGATGAATTTAGGGGTGCATATGGAGGAACCAGAAAAGCAAGATATGGTGTTACAACCGAGCAACAACAAGATTTGCTCACGGTTCTAAAAGAGTCCTCGATGGTCTATAGCACTTCTGCCAGCATCAGCGACGCACGAGGACTGTCAACTATTTTCCGGAAGAAGTTTATTCGAATTTTAAGATCAGTTACAAACTCCTGAAGAAGCTTTGAAACTTCAAAATGGATCACGTTACCTTTTCTACTTGGAGTAACTAAACACATTCCACTATCGATCTACTGATCATAATTTATGGGAAGCATTACTTAGTTTGATGAAGCATGCATTCTGGAGTTCAATGTGAAGAAGATAGAGGACAACCAGCTGGATTGTAGAAGAAATCGAAACATGGTAGGAGTAATCTTCAAATCCAAATACTGGTCTGCAACCATTCACCCAGTGTTCAGATTACAGCAAATATAATCCATTGTTACTTTTATGCTACTGAAAATTGTAGAAGAGGATTCAGTTGCATTTACATCCATTGAGTTTCAGTTCCGTAAAAGTTCAAGGAGGAACTAACTCTTAAGGATGGGTCAATTACGACCAGTTCGGTCCTGCTACAATCCGTTAACTCTATCTATGCCTTATTTGGGCGTCTTAAGGCCTCCCTTTTTTCGATTACCAAGAATATTTGCTAGAAAAGGGCAACCTCAGAAACCCCTCCGAAGTACGCCTATGGAACCCGACAGTCGAAATGAATGGTTATTCCAGAATGCTCTAAACCCCGATGAATAATCTCGAAATTGCAATTTTTGGTGCAGTGTAAGAAATTGTGAAGGTCTGTCTAGAATTTTCGAGACAGGCCTGCAGCGTAACATTTGGGTATACATAGACTGTTTTTCCCCTGGAGAGGCAGTATATAGACAGAATCTGTTGTGTTAAAGACATATAAATCAGTTTTATAAATAAAGTTATGAAATATATTGGTGAAAATAGTGAATATTAAATAAAAATAAATAAACGTTACAATAATTTAATTTGAATCCTGCACTATTATTTCTAATCCTTGCGTACAGAGAATGTAAGGTTCTAGAACAGAAGTAAAAGTTGGAAATGCTTTTGCCAGTTCTCCCACTTTATACACATAAATTGACAGGTTGGCAGCGGATCTCACCTAAGTGGACGCGTTACATTGGCGTACAAAATTATTTTATAGATGTTAATAATAATTTCGAGTAAATAGTTTAATAAATTGTGAATAGCTGTTGAAATTTTGTAAAATTATGATTTGAATATTATAATACATGTTTAATAATTATTTATAATCCATAAATACATGCGATTGTCCGGTTCCGCCGATAACAATTTAAAATTACTTGTTCTATGAAACGACACTGGCAGGTAAACATTACTGCGAAATTCTCGGAGCCGCCCGACGTGGTTTGACGTTTACCCCCTCTCTACCTACCAAAAGACTTTTCAACTTTTACTTTCTCTATAAATAACAAGCTTCAAATTCAGTGTATACTATGCGGTTGCCTATTTCCAGGGGTCGCTTATCATACGTCACAATAATGTAGTCCATTGGCAGTTGTATTCTTTATACAAAAATGCATTCCATAAACATTTTTTCTTAGAAGTAATTTTCGAGGTTGGCACCCATCGATCGGTGGCCCATTTTTTCTGATAAACTTACCCTTGAAAAGTCAAAAATCATAAATCAAACTTTTGGTGTGAAAGGGTTACACGATTATTTTAAGAAGATTGAAATGCGCATTTTTTTGAAGTCTAATTAGCAAGTTGGCGAGGTTAAGAAGCAACATTCATACGGCTCTGATTTTCTGGCTAACTTTCAAGGTGATCCATTCAGAAGTTATCGAATAAAAGGATTTTAATTAATGATATAACACTTAATGATGTGGAGTTGTATGGAAATTTAATAAATGCATTACCTATGTAGGAAAAATGCTATTATATTCTACAGATTAAGTTTTGTGGTATATTAATCTTCTATTTCATTTTATTGTGACTGTATACATAATTAATGCGATAGTATATACGGGAGATTTATAATATGTATTGTATACCTACAACGTTAAGTCGGATCATTTTATTTATTTACCATATATCTTTTTGATATTGGTTTGTG